ACTCAATCTTTCAGCAAGCATTTTTAAAAAGGTGTCATTGAGTATTCGTCTTTTTAGGCAGAAAAAACAAAGACAAAAGACTGCTTTCAAAGAGGTCCAACTGAAGACAAACAGGGCCAGCAACTATGATTAATGTAATTAGTGATGATGTCAGACGAATAGCTATGAGAGGAGTTTCAAATGTTATTCCGTACAGTATAGAGGTATGCTTGCATGGAAGTAAAGATCAAAAATTCTTCCGGAGATGAAGTGGGAACACTGAAGTGAGTGTTGAAAGGCTGTGCAATCATAAACAAAAGTCAACCCATGTTTCATGCTGAAAGGATATAAAGATTACATAAAAACCTAGTGGTTTTTACTTTTTTAATGAAGTGAGTTATTAAATAGTTAACGAATGAGGCTGAAAAAATAGCAGGGGACCAGAAGAACAAACCGTACTCTAATTACTTAGCCTTCTAAGGTAGTTCATCAGGGCCCGAGCAGTGATCTTAATAACATGGGGGCTCCAACAGCCAGGTGTGTTGATGGATGATGTCCAATGAACCTAAAGAGGTTTCCCTTATTTATCGATCTGTAAGGAAAGAACATGCAGACTATGAATGTGCTTAAAAGACATGGGACTTGCAAATTTTTCTTTAACTCCCTATACAAACAATTCAATTAATTTTAGAGGGACGAAAAAAACCAAAGAGGGATTAAAAAAAAAACTATCATTAATTTGGTGGCTAATACAATACCAGTCATTGTGCTATGCATATGACTCTCATTTAATCCTCCTAATTCTATAAAGATATTTATAAATGCCATTATCGTCATTAAGGTGAAGAGTGCTAAAGCTAAAGAGATATTGCAATTTAAGAGAGATTTCAAAGATATTTTTCCAAACATCACAGATAATTTGGAAAAGTCCAGATCTCAGTGCTATGGCTGGCCGGCTCATGTTCTATAATCCTTTCTAACCATCATCTTGAACTTCCCAATTCTACTGGAAGGAAGAGAATACTCTCTACAACTTATATAACTATATCTGTTAATAACACTAACATGTATCAAGATTAATCATACTGAACAAATTATATGGAATAATGTTCACTCAAGACACTTCTTAAATCAGACCCTTCAAATAGTTGCTAACTTCCTGCCAAAGAATTACTGAAATATAACTAAGTAAGCTGAAAAATACATAATGCTGCTAAATGTATACATCAATACCCTAAACATCAAAACTAAAATCATTATTAACCCCAAATTATATATTAAAGGTTTGGTTTCAAATATTAAGATTTGAGAAGAAAATATATTCATGGAACATATTTATCCTCACAGTAGAAGTGAGAATAAACTCCTTTTCCATTGATTTCTGAAAACTCACCAGCTATCAAGAATTTAATGATTAAGACTTAACTAAATAATTTTAAAAACAAACTGCCATCAAAGTGAATTAGGTAATACCTCCATCCAGGTAAGCGGCGGCCCACAGTTGATCTTGTTGCCAGCAATAGCTGAAAGGCGTGACAGGTAAGCCATGAGCATTTGAGTGACTGATGAAAAAGAAAGAGAAAAGCAATGTAAATTCAGAAGATACTCCACTCTCTGGCAGAGAAACTCCCCTAAAATTGTTATTTCGGGACACAATAATCACAGCTCTTTAGGCATCTTAACGTTACAGGGGATTCTTCACAAGATGATTTCCACTGAAACTATGGGCACTTATGCTTCTTTTAGCTCCTGTTTCATGAGGGGCTTTAACTGTAACCTCCTAATGATTAAGGACCATTCTCTTCTACAACTTCGAATTTTAATTGCTTTCTTCTTCTTATTTTTACACTGAACATACAAAAGGATGTTGTTTACAGGTCCAATGTCTAGTCTTTTGCCTAGCTTTCTCCTGCGCTCTTAAGGCTTTTTCTCCAGAACTCTGTAATTCCTTCCCTGTGCATGGCTGACTGGGAGCAGCAGCATTCATTTGCAATTCTACACTGTGATGTCTTTCCATTATTCCTAGAAATGTGAGAATCTGAGGCAGACAATTGAAACACATAGGCCAAGTAGGGAAATAAAAACAGAGAAATCTCTAGTTTTCTATGGTATGAAGGGATCTTTGTGACTGTGAGTGCCCCCTGCTGCAGCCAGGTCCTACAAGACAGCGATGGCTCCACTCTGCCATTAACTACCACTTGGGAATTAACTTTAAATTTAAAATGACTTCCTCAGGAAGTGGAAAGTATCCACTACACTGTTTTCCAGTTCATAATGACTGAGGAAGAGTGTAATGACTAATTCTGTCTTTTGAGAAAATCTATTTTTTGCTTCTCTTAACAGCTTTAGGATTTTTCTGTTTTGTCATTTTGAAATTCACAATGTTCTTGGTGGAATGAGTCTTTTCATTTATTATATGGGTAAGCATTTAAAGGACCTTTGAAATCTGAAAACATTTATTTAGCACTGATGAATTTTTATATTAACTTTTAATTATTTCCTTCCATTCCCTCTCTCCTCCTATAACCATATAAGTAGTAACTTCTCTGGACCTTTTCTCCACAATTCCTAACTGGTCTCTGAACATCTTAATTTTTGTACCTTTCAGGGTCACATTCTTATAAACGAGTTTAAATTCCCAACTCACTAATTCTCCCTTTAGCTGTGTCCATTTTGTATGTAGCTCAGTTTTTCAAGTTTGCTATTATTTGAGTTAATTTAAATGACATTTTCAATTTCTTGGATCTCTGATTATTTTATTTTTACAAAAAATATGCTCTTATTTCATGGATGTGAGAGGTTCACTTCACTTGGAGGAAGAGATCTTATTCTCTACTGCATACCTCCTTGGTTATTTTGGATTTTTTCAGTGTTTTCTATAGATTTATAATTTACCTGTCTTCTGCAATCATCCTGTATATGGACCTTATTCTCTTCTTCATAAACCTTATCCCAATTACTCCTCACAATTTTTGATTCCCTGATAGTACTTTTGTTTACTGATGCTATGAAGAATTTCTTCTTTTTTTCAAATTTTTGAAAATCTTTTGTATTTGTATTAGAAATTTTTGGCATCATAAAACTAATCACATAGCACTTGCTTTACATATGCATTTCTTTAATTATTAGCACACACTTATTTATATTTTTCCTTTGAGACTTTTTATTCCTTCTTTGAAGAATGTCCTGCAAATATATTGCCTACTTATACATTATTGTTATGAGGGTTTTCTCTCTATTATGAAATTATATACTGAACTCATTTCAATCCTAAACATCCTAAATGTTTCTATGAAATAGTTAAGTAATCCCAGCATCTAAACGTTCAACAGAAACTTTTATTTACTATATATAAAAATTTCTGCTAGTTCAGATGTAGTGATTGCTTCTGCAAAGTACCAAATGCTTACCTCTGGACTGTCTTTTAGGCTATCAGAACGGGGAAGCTCTGAGAGCTGGGAAAATCGTCGGTCATAAATACAGAGATGAAGATGTTTATCAAGTACCCGAAAATCTTCATAACTTCTTTTAACAATCCAACTTTTGCCCTATGGGTGGGGTGAAAAAAAAGCACTCCTATAATTCACCTTTACCTAGATATGCTAGGATTAAGCGTAATTCTATAATGGTATGATATTTTATTTATGTAATTTTAAGGTTTCTAGTAAGAAGTTTCTATTCTTTTGATAGTAAATAATTAAAATTCTAAAACATTCTAGTGAATGACATTACATTGAAAGGACAATAATGGAAGATACAATAGAACTCTCTATTAACAGCCTTCTACTGCTAGTCAAAGTCCATTGCCTATTTTTGAAACGAATAGTCAATAGATGGTAAGATAATATATGACTTTAAACCTCCAAAAGAACTATAAAATAGCTTTGGAAAGAGGATATTTCCTAAAATTAGAGAAAAATGAAGTCAGTTTGTTGACTGGATATCACCAACATTTTCTATGACTGAGACTATTGGAAATAGACTTAAATCAAAACTACGCAATTATAATTCTGAAAGAC